AAAAAAAAAAAAAAATTTTTAATGTAAAAAACACATCACCATCTCATATATAAGCATCTTCAAACATCATTTAAATTTCAACATTCCCTCTGTTAGTAGGGAAATTTAGTAACAATTTTCAAAAATCTTAATTGCAAGCTCTTTGATCAGGATCTACCCACTTATAGAATCTATTAGGGCCCACATGCTATATGATGACCTGTACTCATATACTTACTTTGTTATTTATACAAATATACAAACCATAGTATTTAAGCATTTCATGAGATTCTTTCATCTCCACTAAAAGACTGTGAGACTGCTTCATGGATCAGGACCATCTCATCTTTTCAGATGGCATCACACAAAACATGCAGCAGTGCTATCCATAGGAAAGGTAATTAAGAAACACAGACTCAGGGTGGTGCCTGTGGTTCAAAAGGGTAGGGCGCAGGCCCCAAATGCGGAGGTGGCGGGTTCAAACCCAGCCCCGGCAAAAAAAAAAAAAAGGAGTAATACCCATGGACAGCCATATTTTACTCCCTCAGGTAACTATTCAGAAATGTAGCAATTCATTTTAAACTGTAAAATACTAATATGGTATCACTTGCCCTGGGCTAAACTACTTTTATCCTTTCATCAGCTACAGATTTCTTTAGTGAGCCTTTGTCCTCTCCCAGGAGAAGAAATGTAAAATCTGTTTGAGATCACAGGATTAGCAAAATCCCACATGTTAATTTCAGATGATCCTTACCTATTAAAGGATTATAGGCAGATCCCAGGTATCTAGAAAATACTGTGCTGGACTTTAGCCAGTGAATATATAGATACATATATATAGCCAGCCCTCTACATCCATGGATTCAAAAAACCACAGATCAAAAATATTCAGATTAACTGTACTGAACACGCATAGACTTTTTTCTTGTCATTAGTCCCCTAAACAATGCAGTATAATAACTATTTACATAGCATTTACATTGTATTAAGTATTGCAAGTAATCTAGAAGTGAATTGGAGTACACGAGGATGACGTATACAGGTTACATGCAAATACTACACCATTTTATATCAGAGATTTAAAGGTCCTAACACTTTGCATGAGGTCCTAGAACCAAAATCAATCCCCCAAGGATATCAAGAGGTAACTGAGATAACTGTATAGTGTATACTTACATATGTATTTTTAGTATTACATACTAAAGTATTATTTTAGTATTTTAGTATTACATACTTTAGTATTATTTTTAGTATTTAGTATTAACTAAAGTTAGTGTATTTAGTACACTAGTATTTAGTATTTAGTATTAACTAAAGTATAGTGTAAGTAAAGTTAGTGTATTTAGTACACTAGTATTTAGTATTTAGTATTAACTATAGTGTATACTTACATATGTATTTTTAATTTGCACAAAACACACATGTATTTTGTGAATATATACATATATGATTTTTAACCACCAAAACTATTTTTCTTTTTTTTTTTTTTTCCTTTGGAGACAGAGTCTCAAGCTATCACCCTGGGTAGAGTGCCGTTGCATCACAGCTCATAGCAATCTCCAACTCCTGGGCTTAAACAAGTCTCTTGCCTCAGCCTTCCAAGTAGCTGGGACCACAAGTGCCCACTACAACACCCAGCTATTTTTTTTGTTGCAGCTGTCATTGTTCTTTAGCTGGCCCAGGCCGGATTTGAACTCACCAGCCTCGGTGTACGGAGCCAGCACCCATGAGAACCACCCAAAACCGCTTTTCTTAATAAATATTATCTAGTTCCAAATACTTTTTTTTACCGTAAATTAATCTGAACTTAACTGTAGAGCCTTACCATTAAAATGACTGATGGTTCACTATCACAAAAGTCCTTGCTAGAGCACTGAAGTTATGGTGAAATGCCACAGTATTTAAGTCTGCAGTTCTTACAGACAGTTGGCAAACTTGCAAAGCCCAAAGAATAAGATCTTTTTTTTTTTTTTTTTTGGTAGATGGAGCTTCAAGCTATTCCCCTGGGTAGAGTGCCATGGCATCACAGCTCACAGCAACCTCCAACTCCTGGGCTCAAGCAGGTCTCCTGCCTCAGCCTCCCAAGTAGC